TAATGAATGACTTCCAGTTTTCCCAGAACCATTTGTGAAAGAGACTATCCGTTCCCCTTTGCTATACTCAACGGTGAAAAATTGCAAGCTTCACTCATGCTCAAGACAGTTCTGAAGTCTTAGCCAGATCAACTAGGTAAGAAAAAAGAAATAAAAGGCATCCACATTGGAAAGAAAGATGTAAAATTATCTCTCTGCAGATAATATGATCTTATGTGTAGAAAATCCTACTGACCACACACACACACACACACACACACACACACGCTCAGCATAACCTTCCCAAAGCACTTCAAAACCTTCAAAGGTTCTCCAGTTCAGGTCCAGCCCCTCTCACTACTTCCCCACACCCCACAGCCACACTGCAGTACCGGGGTCCCCTGTGACCTGACCCTTTCACCTCGCTACTGCCCACTCTCCTTAGGTCTCAGTGTGACTGTCAGTTTCTCACGTGAGCCTTCCCTGCCTCCAGCTTCTGCATGCCCGCACAGAGGCCGGCCCATCTCTGCTGCCCCCACGGTTCCGGGCCGCCCGGCTCTGCGTTTGCTGGGCGTGGAGCAGGCTTTCCAGGGCCATTTCGCACCCGGTTCACTCAGGGGCGGGCGTGGGGGAGAGGAGCCTGGGAAGCGGGACTACGGGAGACGCTGAGAGGGACGCTCCCAGGAGTGAAGGCCCCGCTGGGGCCGGTCTGGCCACGCCCGCACTCACCGAAGTAGGGCTCGTTGGAGCAGCCCTTGAGCCGCACGCCCTTCGGGGTGCACTCGACTAGGAAGTGCCGGACCAGCTCGTTGGCCAAGTCACCGGCTGTGGAGGAGGGTTAACAGAAAGAAAGAGCATTTAGAAACTGGGTGGGAGGGCGGGAAGGCAGTCAGAGGGAGGAGGTGGTGGTCAGAGGGAGGAGGCGGTGGTCAGAGGGAGAAGGCGGTGGTCAGAGGGAGGCGGAGGTCAGAGGGAGGAGGTGGAGGTCAGAGGGAGGAGGCGGCAGAGGGAGAAGACGGTGGTCAGAGGGAGGAGGTGGTGGTCGCGGTCAGAGTGAGGAGAGCGGTCAGAGCGAGGAGCTGCCGGGAGGCCGCCCTGTGGCACACCCACACACGTGTGGACGCAGCCATCTCGATCCCCTGAGCAGGAGGCAGGTGCTGTCCTTGCCTGAGAAGGACAAGGTTATGCCTGCAGCCACCAGGCCGTGAGTCCTGGGGCAGGGCTGCACCGTGCACACAGTGCGCCCTTTATGTAAGGAAACGGGCGCGGGCCGCCTGCTGGGGAGACATCCCCGCTGGACGGAGGGGAGCACCTGGGGGAACCTGGGACAACCATCGGATCCCTGGACAGTGGGGAGGGCCACCTGTTCAATGAGGAAGTAAAACTTACGAAGAATTAAGCTCCTTTTTCGCATGAGGACCGAGCTTAATAAATGCACCGGAGAAGACAGATACCGAGAAGACACCTGTGAGCACCGCGTCCCGAGGGCAGGCACAGAGCCAGGACGTGGGGCAGGCACCCACCTTTCTTGTTCAGCTGCAGGACGGAGGGTGGGGGCGTGGCCACCTTCATGGCCAGGCCATAGGCGCCCCGGAAGGAGTGGCTGTCCCTGACGACGAAGGCCCCGGGCTCCTTGTCCCTCAGCATGGCGATGGCTGCGGGGGGCGGGGGGCAGAGGGTCTGTGGGCGCACGTGCTTCCCCGTGATGCCCCGCAAAGGCCCTCTTCTCCTCTTGCCACCTGGGCCAGCGGGTGAGGGCCAGCTCCCGCTGGGGGAGGTCTCCGGGATGACGTGTTATCAGAGGCCCCCGAGGATGCAGACGCAAGAGGCGGCCCCTCCCTCCAGGTCACAGACCCCCGTCCAGTAGCCACAGCAGCTGTGAGGCCCACACGCAGCCCGGGTGGGCAGCCAGGGCCCAGCGCAACCCAGCGCACACAGGCTGGGGTGCGGGGGTGCGGGGGGGGGGACCAGCTTCCCACAGGAGGAAAGAGGTTCCCATCCACATAGACCTGCCCTGAGGTGTGACTCAGGGTTCAATAGTTAATACCAATTCCAAGACAGGCCTGAGGGGTGGCTGTGCGCCCCTGGACCAGCACCCACTCGGGCGACAGCGGAGCTGGCACGTCTGGGCTCCATCTCTCCTGGGTGACTGGGGCATTTAGCTCGTAACTGTTCCCCAAAAATACCCCCTCCCTGCTGGGGCCTGGCACCTGGTCCTCTGCTCACGGTGGAGGAAGAGGGGCGCCTTGGGGTGACAGCACCCTCAGGGCGATGCTGCCCAGACACAGCCAGAGTTTCTCTAGTAACAATTCTTAGAGTTTCTTCTATAGGGTTTGGTATTTACAAAAAAAAAGAAAAAAAAAGGGAAAAAACTAGGGATTTCAAGCATAAATACAAATTCCAGCCCTGAAGACGGGGGCCCTCTCTGGGCAAAGGACAGACTAGTGAGGGGCAGGAAATGGCATCAGCGACGTCAGTGTCCGTCCGAGGCCGCCCCCCATCCCCCACAGGCGCCTTCAGGGCCCAGAGCAGCCGCGGGACAGCTGTGTCCCGTCCGCTTCCTGCAGCCGCTCCCTGAGCTGTTTACGTTCATCTCAGAAGCACCCAGCGAGCATGTCCCCACGTCACATGGGACCCACTGGGCTCCACTCGGGCTGGTGGCCCCCCTGCCTCTTCCTGAAGCTCCCCTGTGGCTCTGATCGGAAAGGCGCACCCCGACCCTACAGACAAAGCAGCCCACAGCGCTCTGCCCCGGGGGCGGCACACCCCACCCCGTGGGCGCCCGTCGGGACCGGCCTCCTTATAAACGTCTAGAAGTGACGTGAGTTCAGCTCTAACATCACCAGGCGCACGGTAGCGGCTCTGAGATGAGCTGTACCCGAAGGGGCCTGCGCTGTGCGGCTGAGCCTCGACAACAGGCGGTGCCCCCCCCCCCAG